AGCAGGAATATATAAAGCTTTTACAAACATCACTACTATATCACTACATCTAAAAACTCTGTACCAAACTGAAAATAACACGTGATTGAATGAGTCATACGCCTATGTATGAACAGTTGTATTGCCATTCACTATTTCTATATAACCATACCATTTCTTAAACCAGACGTAAAATGTACTGGACTTGACTCCTGCTTCTATTATATATAGAACCCAGTGATTGGTAATGTGTAAAAACAAAGAGAACATTGAATGATAAGTTTTAAAAATGCTTGAAAACCGTTGACGTTTCTGGGGAAATGTGGTACCATAACAGCCCCGTTAAATTGATACAGTTTTTATTTTTTGTAATCTGTGAATATGAACGTGTAAAGTGTGTTTTTAATTTATGTTTGAAAAATATCAATAGTGTGCACTGTTTAGTGCTCTCCGAACGACTTCTCCGCTGCCAAGTCTGCACAGAAATTCAATATGTCCCTTGCAAATGTAGCGGGGCTGGTTATTCAGCTTTCAATCAAAATTTACGCATTTGTATAATTACTGTGGGACCCTTTATCTCGAACGACAAGGTTCTGTATAGTTTAATGAAAATATAACATAAAACATGAACTGCACCAGGAAGTAGCCTCGGGACATTTAGAAAAGCTTACCGTGGTTGTCGTAGACGCTGATATAAGATATTCCCACAGCCATGCACCACACCACTAGGTTTGCGATGTCCGTGTAGCTCGGCTCTTCTTCCGTGACCAAAAAACCGATGTGTACCGGTAGCTTTTGCAGAGACATGCCATCAGAAATGTACCGCAAGCGGGGACTAGGGCCGCCGTTTGCATGTGACGGGTTATCGTCAGCACCCGGCGTTCTATTCAACTTTTTCTGCTGCTCTGGAAAACCAGCCAGGGCGAGGGGCAGCAACAATGAAGCCATGGCCCGCTCCCACAGTCGGCTCTTCCAGCTCTGAAGCCGGACCCGGAGCCAGGAGACGAGAGCTCTGTTTACGTGGACCAAAAGGAGCAACAGCCTCCATAACAACCCGTACAACATTACCATCACTGTACCTGCCGAGGGTGTCTAACCGGAAGGCGGTGGAACAACCACCATTAACGCTCTGTTTCTCTCGTACCTAACCGTTTTCTCAGCGAGATTTAGCAGTGCCAACTGCTAGCACAGTCCGCCGCCATCTTGTCTCTGACCTGTAAACCATTTCGTGAACCCATTAATACATGGACTATATAACTGTATCGCTTCCCATTCAGTGGACCGCTGCCTACGCATCTCACGGCCTTCACAGCTTGGGGGCTGGGCTAGGAAGTCACACGTAGTGAATCAGGATGACGAGAAGTTACGTCAGAAGCCAGTCCTTCTTCGTCCCTATTTAAACTTAAAACACTAACATGGCTGCAGAAGCCCATTTCCGCCGGAAGAGGGTGCGGGGTGTCATAGATTCTTCAGTTAAAACTAATAAGAAAGTATCTCATAATGATGGGAAACTATCCCATAATAATGAAACTTGTATGTCATAATAATGAGTTTTGTGCAATTTCGCTGCAATAACTCTTATAATCGTGTAATAACCGCGACTTCTGTGTATATTCTATGTATGCATATATTCTAAAAATGCCTGTTAATTAATTTAATAATTTAAATAAAAATGTAAATAAATATTTTTATATATACACATATATTATATTAATACTATACCTGTTAATGTGTAAATATATGTATATATTCATACTATAGTTGTTAACATATTTATAGAACAATCATTTAAGCAATTAACAGAATCATATCTGATTAATATTATATGTAATAATATTCTGGTTATAATACATTTTATATGCTATTATATCTTTATATTAGTTGTATTTATATATGCTGCAAATATACAAAAATGACAACAATAACAACAACAATATTTAGTCAGCAGGTCTAGGCCAGTACTACACTTATGTTTATGGTTGAATTGATCTTTTCGTTGGTATAATGTAAATTGAGTCACCAAACTAAAATGTTTCATTTTAAACAAAGCATTTCACTAGACTGAGTATGATTTGCTCATGCACATTTTTTTAAAAACTTCTGGCAGCAACTGTGCTCCTGCCTCACCTGCAATTAGGAGCGATGTTGATGCCTCATGATGAGGTAACATGAGGGTAAGTCGATCCCGTTTTTCGACATAACTTTGAGTAATTTTCAGTCCTTAAACATGGCCTACATATAGACTTAATTTACTATTGTTAGAGACGGTAACAGCTTGTACTTTGTGCACAAACTTCAGACAAAGTACAAGCTGT